CCAACCACACATAGCTGTGCCCAATAGATGAAGATGCTCAACTGAGTTTTTAATATCTCCAGGGTTGGATATTCCTCCACCTCTTAGATCCCAGTCTTTGATCACCATTATGAAGAATTTTCTCTAATACCTAAATGGTATTGTGAATGCTGCCACTTGTATCTGCCACATCTTAATGCTTTACTATGCACTTTTGGGAAGAGTCTCTCTCTTTTTATACCATGCCTATACCATGTCCTAGACAATGATATGGATGTCTCCAAATTTCTTCTCCATGATCAATGATTCCAGTGCTCTTATCCTCCCCTGCACATCATATGCTCCTATTTTGTCCTATCATCTTGGTGTCCTTTGCTGGACTCACTCCAGTACGCCAGTATCTTTCAAGTCCTACACAGAATTTGATAATCCTTTTCAAGTAATTTTAAGTTACAAATAAATTGAAAGAAAAAAATATATATATAATTTACCTTTTTTTTTCGTTTCCAGAAAATTCTTAAATAATCACAGGTAAACGGGTTCACTGTCTTCAAATTCAATGCTTTTCTCTTCTATGAATCAAACATCACAACTTTGGTAATTTTCCATACAATACTTTGTCTTGGTTGGACATAAATAGTTCTTGTTAATAAGATCAGTTTGACATTTTAAAATATATTTGTCTTTCTCAAAAAGGGCACAGAGCAAATTAAAATGAGCCTTTATAGAGAAAAATAGTTAGATCTTACAAAACAATGATTCTTCTTTCTTGCTAGAAACTCACACCTTTTCTGGGAAAATTTTCAAATGAAATAGTCTTGTTCATGATTTCTCTGTAACACACCTGGATTTTTCAACCAGCTCTATTCCAAATGTTAATGTTGACCTGTACGTTTTTCTTCTGTCTGCAAGAAATGACTTTGTAAAAATGGAAGCTACAATTATTCGTTGGTAAGAGAAACTTCCAGTAAAAGTCTGCAAAATAATTTATCAACAAAAGCCATACAAAAAATTGTCACTAGGCATATACAGGCTAGAAAAAAAGTAGAGGTGTTTAGCATTAAGTGGGATTACCTACTGGAACTGTTGCTGCTGGACAGGATAGACCCTGAATAATTTATAGTATTTAAGTCAAGTCTGGATGCTTCTCATGAAAGCATTCTCATCTATAACCAATAGTGGTTACAGACTTCATTTTCAGTTCATTGAGTCAAGTTCTTTAACATCTCTCCTGCCTCACCTCAGGCACTTTCCAGCGTGGTAGCTGGATTTCTCTCCTTTTTTGTTCCCAACAGAGAGAAGGCTGCAAAAAAACCCTTGGAGATAACAAGCGTAGTGTGAGGGACAGAAGGTGAAGGCTGATGAGTGCTGCAGATGTCTTGGCTAAGGGTTCACCTAATGAATGCTCAACTACATGCTCTTACAGCTGCTTCTATGTGAAGTTGGATAATGGAGGTTTGGTATGGTTAAAAAGTGCATGACTTGCCTGCCTGCTATAGTTTAGTCATTTTGAGATCTCCTTTTGGACTACAATGGTAAATTGAAAAGTAATTTCCATGTTATTTGTCATTCTTATGTTGCTTGGCTGTTCTTATTTCATCCAAGACTCTGACATCTGCCATGATCTTAGAATCATAGCATAGTTTGGGTTGGAAGGGACCTTCAAAGGTCATCTATTCCAAACCCCCTACCATGGGCAGGGACGTCTTCCATTAGGTCAGGTTGCCCAGAACCACATACAGCCTGGCCTTAAATGTCTTCAGGGATGGTGCATCTCCATCTCTCTGTGCAACTTGTTCCAGTATTTCACCATCCTGATTGCAAATTATGACTCACCAGACTTTACTATTAAGACACTATTTCACTGAAAAATTGTTATGAATCTGTGCCCCAAGTAAATGACTATCAATCAGATGAGAAGTAACAAACATATACAGAAATCCTGAAGGACTACCATCATCTTTACTTTAGCTCCATCGATTTCCCTGGAGTTTCCCTGAAGGTAAATCTGATTCCAAAGTATTGCTGATGAGTTGGTGAGTTCATGAGTAGGGTGGCTCTGGAAAGTTTTCCAGATCTCAGCAGGCCTTTATGCAAGACGAAAGCGTTACCTCTTTGGCCTTGACTGTGTTCTTACTTATACTGGTATGGTTTCGGAGGACTGTCACTGAGTCAGATTTATACCTGAGTTACGTAGACACAAGCAAGAGAAGGATTGGGCAAACTGTTCCTAAAGCCCCAGTGGATTTGAGAGCCTTCTTCAGCAGATTAGGTAGCTTTTCTTTCTATCCTTAGCAACACAGTCCTGATTAACCCTCCAAGCTGTGGTCAGTCATTTTGAGGACAGTTTGATTGACAGCATGTAACTTGCCAATGCATTTCCCTGCTCTGTCCAGTGCATTAGACCCTAGAGGTGGTTGGTTGGCTGTGTTGGGTTTGTTTAGTTGTTTTGTTCATTTATTTTTAATTTCTTGGATATTCTATAAGAAAAAGTCATCTTGAGCAAGAGACATGAAGTATTTCAATGTAAGTATGAAAATATGCATTGAGACTTTCTTGTAAATATCTGTACCTATAAAAAGATGTATTTGGGCAAGATAACCATATTTGTTGCCTTGCCAGTATGCAATAGAATCCCTTTACCATTCTGAAACTTCAAATGGACAATACAAAACTTCTCCCTGAAGGAACTGTTTCCGTTTCATGCAAGGTTTGTGTGGAATGCTTGCTCTTCACGTATATACTACTTCTTAAAAGAAGATAGACCATCTAGGCCTGGATGTGTAACCAACTCTATCACCCAAAATTTAAGGGGCAATACTCCTTTACACTGCTGATCCCTTAACAACCTTGTAAAATTATTCCTAAAGAAAATTAGTATTGGGAACATATGATACAGTTTGTCCCTTTTTTTTCTTTACTTCTTACAGTATGATTGAAAAACTTGAAAAAAAATAATAGAATAAATCTTTGGGAAGCAGTTAGATTTCTGGGAATGCAGCCAGTATATTGTAGACCACCATTTGTCCAGGGACTACAATTTGGATAATGGATTTGTTTGGAAATTATGCTGCTGATGTCTGAAAGCTATAATGTGAGACTTATGGAGAAAAAGTTAAAGCTACCTTTCTGAAAGCTGTTGAAAAATAGAGAAATTAGATACGTTTTTCCCTGGAAGATAGGCTGATGGATTGACCTTTACTTGGGAAATAAATAAGTGAATAATCTCTTGGTGAAATACGTACATGGAGAGAATAAATCATATTGAAATTTTTGTCAGTGTGCATGGATATAAAAAAGCAGACATTTGTCAAAATAATAATCTTTCAAATGGTGCTTAATGTCTTTTCTCAACTACCTGAGGTTAAACTTCCATTTATTGCAGGAGTGAATTTGCTGTCATACAAAGTGCACAAATACTTCACTTGAGAGTAGCACAATGTGAAAATGATGGTTTAGTTTTAAAATGTGGAGAAAATCAACATTTGCAGATTTTGAATGCTGCGCCTCTGGATTAAGTGACAAAACTCCCATGAATTACAATGGTCACCAAACTGGTCCTCCAAAGAATAATTTGCAAATAGCATGACTGTTTTCTTGAAACTAGAACTTTATTCAGTTGCTGCAAGAAGTGTAACCAGGAGCAAACCGAAGGAAACTTGCAATTAGAAATACATTTATTGTTTTCTAACTCATTTGTGAACATTAAACTATTTTTTTTTTTATTGTGAGAGACTTTTTTGAAGTTGCCATAAAAAACTGCTATCAACTAAGAACGTAATTTGGAAAGTAAGTTGGATGTAGGTGCTTGTAGCCAGAACCATCTGCAAGGTACAAGAAAAGCTATGGTACTCCTTACTAATTCAAAAAGTTTGCTGCCTATCTGTGAGCAGTAACTTCTGATCAGAAGATGACATCTCTAAATGCCATTTTGAGAGTCTCCATTTAAGTTTAAATAATCGACTCAAAGTGAACTATGGAGTCATTGTTCATACTAATGGAATAGACATCTGTCATACTCATTGCAGCCAATATTTTAGTGGTTTTAAATAGTGGTGATGGTTTTTTTTTGACCCTGTCAAAATCAACATGTCTTCTTTTTTGGCATTGTAGTTTCATTCAATGCATGGTCTGAGTTTTTTAGTGGTTGACTTCCAAAACAATGCATTTGATAAGGGCAAGTAAGAAAGAGTAGAGTCCAGTTTCTTTTCCACTTGTCTCCACCGTAGCAAAGACATTAAAAATACTTGGGCATCAAAAGGTCAGGTTCAACCACCAGACTTAAACATCAAAGTCAGCTTATCTTTTAAAGTGAAAGACCCATCTGCTCCGACACAAACTGTGCAGATTGTTCTCCTCAGGTTTGTCCTTACTGGGCTGATTTCAAATATTCCATTGTTTAGCAGAACCAACCTTTGTAGGGTTTTTTGTAGAGGTCTTGTGATATTTCTTACTGTTATCTGTTTGCATAGCTGCCATGGATTTTTCATTCAGACCTTACCCGAGAACACTATGGTGTGACTATGCCCAGCTGTTCTGAAACCAGGCTATTCTGCCCCTTGGTACACTCAGGACTGGTTGTGTACAATTTGCAATCACTAAATGAACAAATTCAGTAGAGTTTTGTTATGCACCAGTTCATGGGGTTAAAGGGTTGCATAGGAATCTTGGTGCTCTTCTTGCAAAAATAAAACTGAAATAATCACTGGCTCTGATAGTTTCAGAGAAAACCTCAAAAATATAAGCAAGGAAGACACAGAACTGACAACAATATACAAATATCAGGTTTTGTGGGTTTCTCTTGGGATCTGACTCATGCTTTTTGTGTCTCAGAGGCTATTAACACTGACTGAATTTGCACTGGCATCTGCAGAACAAGTATGGTTTAACTGTGAGGACCAATTAGCTCATAACTCCATGTCGGTACAATCTGATTTTGATCAAGCATAGACGGTAAAACTGTTGTGAGGAAAACAAATGTTGCATGACTCAAACAAACACTACTCTATTTTCTCTTGTAGTTACCATTAAGCAAGAGGGATGACTCAGATACCTGCTGACTACCTGTCAACCACCAGCTCCTACAACTATGAGCAGCCCCTTACTTCTGTGGCTCGGACAAGCACTGTCACCAAGGTACTCCCAGCCAAAAAAATAACCTTCTTCAAGAGTGGAGATCCTCAGTTTGCAGGAGTCAAGATGGCCATCAACCAGCGAAGTTTCAAGAGCTTCAGTGCACTCATGGATGACCTCTCTCATCGGGTCCCACTGCCATTTGGGGTACGGACCATTACCACCCCACGAGGAATACATTGCATCAGTGAGCTGGACCAACTAGAGGATGGAGGATGTTATCTTTGCTCCGACAAGAAATATGTCAAGCCTATTAGCATTACTTCTGGGGGACACAGGCCAGGCCCTCCACGAAACGGCCGTCCCTCCAGTACCTTAAGAAGAACAGCTCAGGAGGGCAAGCTTGAAGATTATTCCACACCTTTCACTCAGCATGGCCCCAGAATACCAAAGAAGATCACACTAGTTAAGAATGGAGAAAGTGGTTTTCGTCGTTCAATCATTTTGAACCGCAGAAATGCCAGGAGTTTCAAAACACTCCTGGATGAGATTTCTGAGATCCTGCAGTTCCCAGTGAAGAAGCTCTACACTGTTGATGGGAAGAAGGCAAGTATCTCTGATACCTGGTGCTGGTCAGTTATTCTAACAGGTATTACCACATCAGAGTTTGCATTCCCTATGATGCAAATGCTTTAGGTCATGGGGCCAGTGCATATCATCTTAATCCTTTGGTCTTGCGTACTTAATACCACATAAATTAATTCCCCTTTAATTACATGAAGGGGTAATGTAGAAGAATCTTGTTCAACCATTCAAGAACTTCATACATCAGATATTGTTTTAGGTCAATGGGATGCAACTTCTGACAGAAGTCCAGAAGCTCAATGTTTTGCAGCTGGGTATAAAACCTCAAATAAACTTCTAATAATGCGGTTTCCCACCCTCTCCATGGAGGAATGTCCCAACAGAGGCTTAACTTTTCTATACCTAACAACTGGGAATTCAATAGAATAACATGGCCCTTAGGTGGCACCTTGCAGTTGCATAGGTCCTAACAGAATAGGGTCCTGCTCATGATGTGGCATCGTCAGCATTTTGGTAATATAACTAATAAATGCATAAGTAATTAGGGTACGAGTGGGATCGGGAGACACATCTGTATTGATGACTTGGTGAATGTGCCAATTGGGGTTGACTCTTACAATAAATTCAGGGCATGACAACTCCTTTGTTCTTCTGCTCCCAAACTAATTTCCTGACAAAACTAAGATTCTCGTTATTTCTTCTCCATCTCCTTATAATGCAGACTAACCTGTACTTCTATTTCTTCTGAAGAGGTCTCACATGTTAGCCTGACTTGTCCCTGGCAATGCAGCTGAGCAGAGCAGTTACCCTGCTCCTTGGCACTTTTTCCACCTTTACAGTACTGTGTGCCAGCTCCTCAGTGGTAACATTACAGCCATTTATGGTGTCACATTCTGAAGCAGATGACTGAAATGACTTGGTTTCAAATGACCCACTATCCAGGAAGGGAAAAGGTGTGGAGGAGTATATTTAGCCCAAATAATTTTGACCTGGAATACTGACAGGAGTGTGCAGCTATGAAGGAGAAAGGGAGGGGATAATGGTGCCTTAAGCCATCTTTCCTGGTGGAGGAAAGATGTCATCACAGTGCTTTCTATTTGCCCACCACTCTGGAAAGAGCTTCCTGTTCTCATCTGGAGGATCCACGGAAAAAGTCCTTCGTGAACATCCTACTGCTTAAGCTTTCCCAGCCCTACTGTTCTAGAGGCTAAAAGAGTGTCAAGCTGACTGCAGTCAGAGATGAGATGAAACACCAAGGAAAGGATGGTGCCACTCCACATATGCAGGATAAATGAAACTGCAATCTTGCTGAGAAACTGAGGGTTTATGAAAAGGGACCCAGGAGCAGGAAAGAAAACTTAGCCGTGGGCTACCCAAGCATGGCCTAGGAAAAACAAATAGATAATTCATCTCCCCAGACTTTGTGACCTAAAAGTCAGTTGGCTAAGTCCAAGATAAGCAGGCTGGTTACCCTATTGAGGGATTTGTCTTTTCTAAGTGTGTCTAGAGTCTGTGTTTCTCCTAATAGCAGAGTAAAAAAAAAAAAAAGGCTCACTTACAGGCAACTGCATGATAATAGGCAAGACAATTCCATCCCCTAGGCTATTTCGACAGTCAATGGAAAGAAATAGGCACTTCAGACAGCTACTTTCCAAGTAACTGTCTAAATGACTGTGGATATATGGAGCTGGATTAATTTCAGATTCAGCTACCTGCATGTCAGTGTCTAAATTTTTCCGTAAGTGACTAAAGTGGGTAAGCCCCCATATAGCTGTTGGGACTAAGCTGACAGTCCAATTGTCGTGGTTTAAACCCTAGCCAGAGAGCTCGTTCACTCACTCCCAGTGAGTGGTGCCGGGCTGGAAGCAATCGAGGCCTATGTCCCGTCCACCCCCGGGGGCTCTCCCCTTCCCCGCTCCCGGAGGGATGGGGAGGAGAATCGAAAGAGTGCAACTCCCACGGGTTGAGACAAGAACAGTCCAGCAACCAATGTACAACACAAATCACCACCGCTACCACCAATGACAACAATAAGGGAAAATAACAAGGGAAGAGAATACGATACCACCCGCTGAGGCTGAGAAACGAGTCAGACCCAGAAGACCCCGTGTCCTTCCGGGTAACTCCCAGTTATCCCCCCGGGCATGACGTGCTGTGGTATGGAATACCTCTTTGGTTAGTTTGGGTCAGGTGTCCTGCCTCTGCTTCCTCCTGGCTTCCCCTCCTCCCTGGCAGAGCATGAGGCTCACAAAGTCCTTGGTCAGGGCAAACATCACTTAGCAGCACCCGAAAACATCTGTTTCACCAGCACTGTTCCCAGGCTGAAAGTCAAAACACAGTGCTGCATGAGCTACCAAGAAGGAGAAAAATGACTGCTACTGCTGAACTCAGGACACCAATGAACATGGAGCTGGTCAAAGAAAGGTGTCTAGATGGCTTCGGAATCAGTTAGAGTCTTTTTTTTTCATTAAGTTTCTATCAATTTATTTGCAGGTTTGCTGTGTACCACAGCTGCAATGGTTCTACTAAATTAAAACATCTTACAGCAGGACCTCATCCTTCTCTTCTCCATCCTGTGAAATTCTTAACATCTTCCCGGGTTTGGTCTTGGCCCAGAATAATAGTGTCCCAACAGTTTAGATTTAGGACCTGGGAGTATTCACTATAAGTAGATTGGATTTGGCCAGTCTGTGTTTGAGCAACCAGGCTACTTCAGTTGACCTCTATTCTGAAGAAAAGTGTCTGGCACTGCTTGCTTTACTACTACATATGCCTCCAACTCAAATTAAGGAAAAAAAAAACAACAAAAATACAACCCCAATCCTGCTACCAAGATGTGTTATAATTTATGGATAAGTATTTTATTTTGTTACTGATTTCTCCAGTTTTCAAGACTTGGACTCCTGTTCAGTCCACATGAAGATAATAATCTTGGTTAGTGGTAGTGGCTTCCTCTTCAGTTCTTACATTTTTGAGACTTTTCACTCATTTCTCTAATGGAAAGTTTTGCCTTCTGCTTCCTAATGCAGTCTTAGTGTTCTCCTTGTGATTCTTAAATTACTTTCCCACAATTTTCCTTCTATTAATTTTAAACACCAATATTTTATCTGAGATATGTACTAAGTACACACTCTGTAAGAACAATACTGTCATTATTCAACCTTCATTCTTCTTTCCATATAAATATATGCAGTTATCTTAAATATATGCAGTTATCTTTTACATTTTTGAGCTCTGCAGAGATGGTCACCTTGTTCTCTCTTCTCTCAGAGTCATATTTCATATATGTAGCAAGACACAGATAGAATGACACTGGTACTAACTGACCAGAAGCGGTCACTGTGAAGTATTTGAAGCTGATGGCACCTACTCAGTTTTACATGCTAACATCTTTGCTGACAGTTTAAGTGATAGTTATGTAGATCTCATGAGGAGACAATCAGTACCTTAATCACATGCTTTGTGTCCTCACTCTCAGTTCAGCCTTTGTTTCTGGAAATGGTTCAGGCAAAGCTGCACAAGCACATCACTTGAAAAGATATTGATGCTCTTTGTTGCAGCTAAATTATCTTCTCTGGCAGGCCAAAGAATTTAAGATTATGCTCTATGTGGTCATAATGATATTTTCCACAATAAATCTCAAAGGTCCCATACAGAACTTCCGCCCTGAATTTTTTTTTTTGCCCTCCATGTTTTCCATCTGCAGAAATGTGGGTGTGGATCAGACACTTAATCTCTTCATGGTCTCTTGGGATTTGTTTTTTGGATATGAAAATTTTCATACTTTCATATAAAACTTGTTAATAAGCAGTTCATCTTCCATACCTTATTAATTTAATTTGCACTCCTTTATTCTTGTGTAGAATATCATTATGATAGGTGACTATGTGTCCAACCTGATCAGTGTTATCAGTTTACAAATATCTAAGAAATATGTGATTATTAATATATTTTCTGGAGAATCCTTTGAAGTGATTTTTTTTTATCCCTTCTTAATTTCAGTCATTTACCTCTTGCGTTTTTTACTCTTCATTACTGCTCATTCAGTGTTTTTTGCTGTTAGGACTTCCTGGAGCTGTTTCTCCACTCTTGGGTGCAGAATATTTAAACCATAAAAAAAAGTCATTCTATCTTGGATTTTCTAATCTTCTCCTTTCTTAAGGATCCATTTCTGCCCTTCTATCTAATTTTTCTTGTCTTGCCTTAACTTCAAGATCTCTATTCCCTAAACACAAATGGTTGTGTCCTGGAGTTTTCAGCAGATACTAACGTTTTCTTTGAGGGGCAAAAAAAGGCAATTTTTTCAGATAATTTGTTTGGTTTTTTTTTTTAAATAACCATCTTCAACTGGTGCTGAAGAAAACTTTTGACTGTACGTCTTGCCTTTGTGTTTTCTGCTAGAGAAGATGAAAATAAGCTTCCATTCTTCCATGACTATAAAAGGTGTCTGGATATTTCATATTTGTTGGATATTTCTCATATTGTTCTTTTTGAATCATAATTAAATTTTTTTTAAATAATTTTGTAAGCTTCTTTTATCAAGTGGCTGGTAAGTTTTTTGCAAGACTTATTACAGAGGCCAGTATTTCTGGAAAAGTGGGCTAAGATTGAGTGGAACAGTAACTTTTGACATTTATTACCATGATTTGCCAAATTAGCTGAATACCAGTAAGATAAGCAATGCATCTGGACTACTGCTTGATTGACTTTGTATTTGTCTGGCTTAGAATAACCTAACTCACTGTATTTAATTGCAGGTTCACATTTCTCTTTTGCTGCCAGTTTTTTCTTGATCTCTGGAAAACTGAACACAAAATAGGAAAAATCTCCTCTCCTACCAGTGAATAGACCTCTTCCATCAATGAAAGTGCTATTTATAGACCTGAGAGTGTTGTCCTTCCAAATCTCCTTTTGTTTCCATTGCTGTAATTCCAGATCTAAATTCAAATCTTAAGTTAAATCACCTACGCCACGTAAAGTATGGTTGGCATACACTGTCCCTGTGGCTCTGTTTTAATACA